TCTCAAAAAAAAAAAAAAAAAAAATTGAACTCTTCTGTGTGTACCTTCAAGTAGATCTGCAATCTAATGACATTTTAGACATCCATCTCCATTAACCAAATAATATTTTGTTTGATTTGCTAACTTGGTAACAAAGATCTGCCAATAACGTTTAGCTCTCTGTTGGTGAAAATCTGGGTGCAAATAGCATATTACTTGCGTTGTCTTTAAGCTTTTAACTTGACTTGTTACTAGTACACAGTTCTGCGTTTTCCATATGAAGTCAGCTTTAACGTTTTGTGGCTTCTTCTATAGGTGTTTCACAAGTATCATTCATACATCCATTCACCAAAAAAGAAAAACAAAAACAAAAAAATATAAAAGACCGTTTGATCATAATCTGTTGAATTATACAAATGGAAAATTGGACAGGTTCCACATTGTATTCTAGATATGCATATGAAATATATCATAATACCAAGTTGCATTTTTTAAAGTATGAAAGCTATTATATTTTTTCTCCTTTGATTTACCCGGTAGTATCTTTATGGAATATTTGAGGATTTCCATGAACTTGGGTAACCAACCCAATATGTTAAGAGACTTTGTCTTTGTTGTTGGTACAGAGTACTTATGAGAGTATTAATTTAATATCTGCTACTCTTCCTGCCATGAAAGTATGTTGCTTTAGTCTATAAAGATCATGTGTGCCATACCATGTTTTAGTTTAAAACCAGCAGGAATAAGTCAAATTTTTCTGAATAGGTCCTGCCAGAAAAGGAAAATAGTAAAATTCTATGATGCTGTAATTCTCACCTTTCCTCTTGAAGATGGAATGATGGTGCCACCTTTGAAACAATAATTTGCTTGCATGAAATTTATGGGTGTATATCAGCAGTTCTAAAATTTAGGCTGTAGACTACGGAGGGTCCCTCAGACTCTTCTGAGATTCTCTAAGGTCAAAATTATATTCATAACAATACTAAGATACCATATACCTTTTAAGGTATATTAACATGTGCAGTGCTGTTGCAAAAGTATTGACTGGTAAAACTGCTGGTACCAGTGTATGACTCAAGGTAGTGGCATCAAGTTGTTCTAGTAGTCATCATATTCTTCATCACTCTACAGACTTGTTGGAGAGTGGGCAGGGAGTCAATTTCATTCAAGGTTTCTCTTGAAGAATCAGTAAGAATTATTTTATTAAACCCTGACCCTTTAGTACACGTATTTTTTTAATATTCTGTGTGACAAAATTTAGTATTTACTGCATACTAAAGTACAATGACTGTGTTTATGAAAAGCACCTGTACAAGCTGAGTTGGCTGTTACTCCTGAAGACCATTTTTATTTGAAAGAACAACTTATAAACTATGGTTATTCAGACTTGAGCATTTGGCAGATATTTTCTCAAAAATGAATAAAGTGAGCCTCACTTCAAGGAAAACTGACATTATGACTATAGGAATTTAAATGGGAATTAGACTAAAGGATTTCTAATGTTTCCCAGCTCTCATTTTTTAGAATATCTTTTAAAGTAACTATTTCACATCTGTGTTTCTTAGTATATCATTTGATTATTCCCATCCATAGCTGGATTTTTTCAGAGCATGGTGGAACAGATGTTTAGAGATGTGGCTTCAATATCCTTCTCTTCACTCTTGTCATTGTCACTGAAATAGCTGTGATAAGCTTTCCCTCTAGATGCAGGGTTTTCTATAGCACGTATCAAATGAGACAATAAGTATATAACTATGAAAAATTAAAAGTACTCTTCAAATACAAAGTGTACTAAAAATGTTCTGTTATATTCAGCAAGTGCTCACAAAGCAAAAGCTTGATTTGTCCATTCTATTTTAAAATTGATGGCTGTTCTTAAAGAGATTTGTCCGCTTGCCAAAGGTAACATACTATGAAGAGTAAAGAAGAATGGTAATTCAATGGCTATCCAAATTACAGTGGAAAATTATGTAACATGTATTGCAAAGTCAGACATCCTAAGCTTTCGTTCATTCTTAGGCACAGATTTTGTTTCATAGAGTATCTTTATATTGTATATATTCACTAAGGGAGAAAAATAGAGACAACTTTAAAGTTTTCATTTGTTGATCTCCTAACCTTTAACAGTTTATTAAATGCTTAGTGCTACGTAAGTGAACATTGGTATCATTAAGAAGATTTTCTATAAAAATTATGATTTTTTCCTTGTAGATAATCAGCTTGATCTTAGTAATCATTTCAGTCACGATTTATAAAAATTGGCCAACTATATATCTTAGGTATTTGCGCAACTAAGTTTCTCTAGCTGTCACATGAAAATTTAGAAATTTAAGGCATGATAACTATAGGAGTTGAAATACTTATGAAAAAATTAACTTACTTTCATTTATAGACAGTATCCTGGCTATGACTACTCGCAGCAAGGCCGATTTGTCCCTCCAGACATGATGCAGCCACAACAGCCATACACTGGGCAGATTTTCCAGCCAACTCAAGCATATACCCCAGCTTCACCTCAGCCATTCTATGGAAACAACTTTGAGGATGAGCCACCTTTATTAGAAGGTAAGATTGGTTGCAACACTTGATAGTACTCAATAGTATTCAGTTGGTTAGTGAAAATTAATCTTAATTTGGAGAAGTTGTCTTTTCCTTTAAAAAAAAATAATCTTGTAGAAGAGAGTTTTCTGCTAAGCAAGTCATTTTAAATAGAGTATATATGAGAGCACATTGGGCCAGAGGACCAAATTTTTTAATACATCTTTTAATAGTGATAATAAAGTATCTTACTATATCAGCATTGACTTTTACTTCAGCTTATTGACTTAAATTCTACTGGTAGAAAAAGTGAGAAGAAAAAGCATGGTATCCATTATTCTATGTGGAAATAAACTGGCAGAAGTAGTAACATCACTAAAAATATGGTGATTTGCCACACACTGGGGCCTGTCGGGGTGGGAGGGCCAGGGGAGGGATAGTATTAGGAGAAATATCTAATGTAGATGACGGGGATGGATGCAGCAAACCACCATGGCACGTGTACACCTATGTAACAAAACTGCACAATCTGCGAGTGGACCCAAGAACTTAAAGTATAATTAAAAAAAAAAAAAAGTGATTTTCAAATTGTATTGCAAAATCTAGAAAGCCGTAGTTCTGAACATGTTTTTTGAACCATATACTCTTTGAAAATCTAATGAAAGCTATGAATACCCTCCTCAGAAAAAAATGCACACATGTGCTTAGAGACATAGTTTTGTATACAGTTAAATGGGCCCCCAGGTATTCCTGAAGCCCTAGTTAAAGAACCTCTTACTGTTAACCCTTTTTGTATATTCTTTGCTATGCAGTCATACCTAAGGGATGTAATAAGTGTCTGTTTCATCATATCCATACCCTTTTCCAACACCAATACAGAAATATTTGTGGGATGAGCACCACAATGAAGACTGGCATAGAGAACTCACTAAAATAATATCATCCAGGCCAGGCACAGTGGCTCAACACCTGTAAACCCAGTGCTTTGTGAGACCGAGGCTGGAGGATCTCTTGAGAACAGGAGGTCAAGACCAGCCTGAGCAACACAGCAAGACCCCATCCCTACAAAAAAAAAAAAAAAAGTTCAAAACAAAATAAAAAATAAATAAAAAATTAGCTTTGTGTTGTGACACACACTTGTGGTCCCAACTACTCGAGAGGCTGAGGTGGGAACATCACTTGAGTTCAGGAGTTCAAGGCTATATGATCATGCCACTGCACTGTAGCCTGGATAACAGAGCGAGACCCTATCTCAATAATGATAATAATATCATCCAATATTGCTAGATTCTTTTCTGATGCTATCTATGTCATTTTGTCTCCTGTTTCAACATAGATTTTGATAAATAAAAAATACATCACAAATCCTAATTAACTTTTAAATTTTCTTTCTCCTTAGAATTAGGTATCAATTTTGACCACATCTGGCAAAAAACACTAACAGTATTACATCCATTAAAAGTAGCAGATGGCAGCATCATGAATGAAACTGATTTGGCAGGACCAATGGTTTTTTGCCTTGCTTTTGGAGCCACATTGCTACTGGTAAGATTTTTATTTCATCCTTCAGCGTGCAATTAAATAACCTTTAAATTTTAAATGTTCTACTAAAAGCCATTTTGAAACTCCGCTTATACACCTCAAGCCTTTGATGTGTTTGAAATAGTATTGAGTTGCTTGTATTTATACCTATTCGTTAGTTTTCCATCCATAGTAAGTATAGCATGTTTTAAAAATCATTTCTTATTCTAAAAAATGATTCAATTATTAGGGGGAAAAAAATAAAAACAATAGTAAATAACAGGTATGGCTTCAGACCCTCATTAGAATTCTGTCTTTCAGAGATTACTTACAGTTTTTACACTGTTGCTCTTTTTTGTTAATAACAGCATTTAAAAAAAATCTCCAGACCTTGGTTAAAGTTTTGTTATAGTCATACTGACTATTACTTTTCTATATATTATTTTCTCAATTTATCACCTTCCCAAGAATGTTAAGGCATATTGAAAACAGAAAAATTGTAAAGATAATTGTTAATAATTATTTTATCTTATGTCTCTGAATTATAAGAGATTAATAATACATAGAAGATGGGATTTCTAGTCAGAAGAGCTGGGCTTGAACTGAGTGCTCCTACTCTGCCTTTGGCTACATCATTTAATCCTTCAGTTTCCTGTCATAGAAAATAATCCTATCCTGCTTACCTAGCAAGATTATTTTGAAGATGAAACAAGACAGGTTATGTGAGAACACATTGAAAAGTTAAAAACACTGTACAAATATAAGGTTTATTATTACTACATGAATGAATTGCTCAGTGAACTCAGCTTTTTCAAACTTCTGCACTATTAATCAAGTATTTACAAATAATCTAATAAAAGTCCCAATATTTTTTTTACTTAACGTAATCTGTAGAGGCATTCTCATAATTTAGTTTTATGTGACAAAAATTGGATAAATCAGGAACTTTTTTGAAGGCTTTTCTGTGAACTGGTTTTAGTGGTAATGTGACCTGAATATAACGTTTGTTCACGAACTTGACTAAGAGTAGGATAATTCCAATTTAGCTAATCTTTGCAGTGCTTTAAACTGTTTATTGATGTCTTTTTTTAATCAAAGGACTGTATAAATCAACCAATCATTTGGAAAGAAAAAAGATCTTCCATTATATTCCTCTTGCCATTTCTTCTCTCCTCCTCACAGAACCCTGGCTTCTTGTTTGTCCTTGCTCCTCTAATACCCATATAAAGTGTATCATAAGATTTCTTCTTAGAAAGATTATTACTACCTCCACCAATGAGAATTAATTGCTTTGGGGTATTTTTGGTGGAGTTAGGTACTTTCAGCTGATATTCCTATTGCTATTCCTATTTCATTCTGAATGGCTTTCCATCTTGTCTCTAGTTTATTTGCTTAAAATCATCCAGAGTTCTTTTTAGAAACCTTACTGTTTTAGGTCTGCTATGTTTTTGTCTCTTTGCTCACTTCTATGCCAAGTTCACATGCTAACTGGAAAATGGAGAAAGAAATATCTGTGCTCTTTAAAGTTACAAAGACTGTAACAAACCTGTCTGCTCAGTCCTTTACTTCTTTACATAAAGACTGGATACATCTGTAGATTTTAATGCTCATCAGTTATTTCCTACATGTACCGATTGAGGTGAAATAAGGCCAAAAATAACTTGTATTTTACCCTTTAACCTGTAATCTTTTTCTTTACCCGTAGGCTGGCAAAATTCAGTTTGGCTATGTATATGGGATCAGTGCAATTGGATGTCTAGGAATGTTTTGTTTATTAAACTTAATGAGCATGACAGGTGTTTCATTCGGTTGTGTGGCAAGTGTCCTTGGATATTGTCTTCTGCCCATGATCCTACTTTCCAGCTTTGCAGTGATATTTTCTTTGCAGTAAGTACTGATCTTTGTTTTGGGGGTTGCTTGACCGATTCTATGTAGTAGGATTTGCCTCATCTTCAGTTTCAGTAAATCACTGATTTTCAGCAAACATATCAGATAGTGGCTCTGATAGTAGGGACTGTGCCAAATGATTTTGGATGAAGAACAATGGTAATGAGAATAAATTTAAAAACCTTTTATACCATTTCTATTTTACCCATGGTAAAGAATTTCACTAGTTTATGTTTACATACCATTGTCATAGTGGTAACAAATTGAACAGGGTGATTGTTAAATATTACCTTAAAAAGTTCAAGACGTTAGTGTTCAAATTATGCTTAATTACCCTCTTCAATATTTTCTAGATCTGACCTAATTTCTTGAAACCATTGGGCATGTGCCAAATGTATGAATAATAAATAAATACTCTGTTGGACAGCTTTTTAACTGGAAATGTATTCTTTTTATGACAAGAGGCTGTTAACAGCCTACTGTGTTTCTCAGATAGATATACTTGTAAACAGCTTTAAATATGTGTAATTTTTAAATTATACTTTAGGTTAGGTTAAAAGGAAAGGTATGGCTAGGCGCGATGGCTCACGCCTGTAATCCCAACAGTTTGGGAGACCAAGGTGGGCAAATCCCCTGAAGCTGGGAGTTCAAGACCAACCTGACTGACATGGAGAAACCCTGTCTCCAAGGGGACATTTGGCAATGTCTGATGGGGGGCAAAACAGCCCCCACAACAAAAATAACATCCAACCCAAATGTCAGTAGTGCCAAGGGTGAGAGACCTTATATTTTTTAAAAGTAAGATGTAGTTCTAAAAAAGCTATTTATCACATGAAATGATTCAGCATCATTGAATTCACTGTGAGGTACGTTTTAGCATTGAAAAAAAAAATAGTGATTATTTCTGCATATATCTACTTGCCAATTTAAAATGTAAATTTAAAATGCTTTTCTTTAGAATAGGTTATTGTAGCGTTCTTACATAACTAATCTCATCTGCTTTTTTTTTTTTTTTCCTCCTCCCCCTTTTTTCCTTGTTGGTTACATTTTTTTTTTTTTTTTCATTCTTTTTGCTTTTTTTTTTTTTGTTGGTTACAGAGGAATGGTAGGAATCATTCTCACTGCTGTGATTATTGGATGGTGTAGTTTTTCGGCTTCCAAAATATTTATTTCTGCATTAGCCATGGAAGGACAGCAACTTTTAGTAGCATATCCTTGTGCTTTGTTATATGGAGTTTTTGCCCTGATTTCTGTCTTTTGAACTGAATTTATCTGGAATGTGGACATCAGTGGGCCAAATGTGCAAAAAGGACCTTGAGCTCTTAAATTGGACCAGTGAAACTGCTGCAGTACAACTCTTATGCAGATTTACATTTGACTGTTGGAGCAATGAAAGTAAACGTGTACCTCTTGTTCATTTTTATAGAACTTTGAATACTATATTGGGTTTATCTGCAGTGCGACTAGCTTTAAATGTTTGTGTTTATACAAATAAGAAATGCTATTTCTTTCCGGTTCCTGCAGCCTTTGAAAAACCTTTTCTTTGCAAATTATAATGTTTTTGATAGATTTTTATCAACTGTGGGAAACCAAACACAAAGCTGATAATCTTTCTTAACAACAACCCAGACATAGTAAAGAAGACTTACTGCAAAAAATATTTTTCTGAGGATTTAGGAAAGAAAAATTGCCTTTTATTCTCAAGTTCAGGTACACTCAAAGCAAAAAAGTGATCCAAATGTAGAGTATGAGTTTCCACTCCAAAAATTTGACATTACTGTAAATTATCTCATGGAATTTCTGCTAAAATTCAGAGCTATAGGAAGTTCACAGTCTACCTTATTGTAGACATGAAATGTGAACACTTATTTAGATATTAGTGTTAACTAAAGCTTAGTGACCTGGAATGGTTGCATTGATGCTCATGGTTGGGTCTCCACATTTCCCAAAAAAGAAAAAAAATCACTAACCTTTTTCGAGAAAAATACTTAAAGTTTTACAGTTTCAGTATTGCAGTTATCAATGTAAAGTACATTTGAATGCTTATTAATTAAAACTTTCTCAATTAATTTTAACTGTGTTGTTGAGTTTACTTTTACTAAACCACTGTTCTCTTTGTCTCTTTTAACTAGGCTCTGATTTTGACTCCTAATTTAACCTAAGCTTTAAGAATAGAATCAGCTAGTATAGAATCAGACAAAAAGGGGATTAAGTGAGAAGCAGATTACTTTGAGTTACATTATTTTCTTGTATTAAATATGTTTGATTTATATTGTCATGTTCTCTTGCCAGAGAGTTTTAGGAAAATACTGTATCTTGTATACTGATCATTGGACAAACCCCAATTATAGTTATGAGAAAGATATGGTATGGGTAGAAAAATGTTGCTTTTTTTAAAAAAAGAGACTTTCAGACTAAATAAAAAGAAATATCAAACTGATATATCAATGGTCCTTTTTTAGAGCAAGTTTTCAAAGCATAAAAAGAGATTGAGAGAATTAACATATTTATTGATTCACATAAGTATGTTTTTTTTTCATTCTTAATCTGAAGAAACCCACTTGCCATTAATTTGTTTGGGCTAGGTTTTCATACTTACCAAATTAGTTTAGGAAAGCAATTTGGTAGGTTTTCAAACTTAGCAAATTTTATATTGTAATTCTTGTATAGTATTTTGTCTTTGCAATTCATTTGTCTTTTTCAATATAGTTCTTGTTAAGGCAAATGTAACAATGTCTTTCATTAATATCCAATTCTTGCTAATAAACAGTAGAAGATGCTTTGGGAATTAAGATCATCTCACTGTTGGTTAGACTTAACACTGCTAATCTTCAGCCAAATACCACAAATGGATGAAATTATTTTCTTATTTGTTGTTTACTCTATCCCCAACAAAATTTTTAGTTTAAATCATTTTAGAGATTTTTTGTTGTTGGTGGTGGTTATTTTTTATTTAGCTCCAAAATAATAAGGTGCAAAACTATTTTGTCCTTAACTGTTGCTGTCAAAACAGCTATGCGATAGAGTTGCATTTGATGCAACTTTAGTTCTAGAGTTTGTTTGGTTACCTGCAGAGTCATATATAGCCAAAACTTCTCTTAATCAAACCCTTCTTAAAAATATATGTAGTCATATTTATATACACATTAAAGACTGTTGTACTGTGTCTCAAAAGTACTATGTGCCTTTTTTTTTTTTTTGGACTAGCATTGGAATAGATATCTGTTTCTTCAGTTAAGTACCAGATAGATTATCTGCCTTGCTTTAGGGCCCATTTTATACTGAAAGCATACAGGTATCTTTAAACACTAGATACACTCAGCATAGCTAAAAGCTCATCCAGTGATTGTCACTGAGTAACTGAAACTCACTGTAGGGGTGGCAGACTGACACATGCCTTATCTCCAAATATTGTACTTGTGAGTGGAGTGGCTAGTTGACTTATACTAGTGTGTTATTAATGCATGCATACATGCTGCCAAGATCATGTAGTTGATTTTACATATGGAGTAAATGCATATTTTATGGCTTTGCTATAATACTGTGATTACCAATGGGTATTTTCAAGAACTGTATAACTAGGTTTATGGAAATAGACATTCTTTCTCCAGATATAGTTATGCA